CCAAAAAAAAATAAAAATAAAAATAAAAAAAGAAGGGAGAGCCAATACTCCAGAAATGGACTAAACAGCACCAACAACGGTGGGTGCATGCCTGCAGGTAGTTTAATTTCGTGTGCAGCCTTCAGCTGATTGAATTTTGTGTGCAAGAGGGGAGAGAGGAACAGGTGGCAAAAAAAACAAAATCACTAAAATGCCAAAACCGATTGATGGGGGATGTGCTCACACTCGGACTTTCCAGGTCCCGGGTGCATCAGATCAGAAACACAGCCAGCCTGAGGTTCATTCATTCTCAAAACCCCTAGGTAGTGCAAGAATTCCCTCCTCTGTGAATCAACAGAGACCCGGACACCATTGCCGTTGTTAAATTAAAATTTAAAATGGTAATTTCAATGATCCATCAAAGACCCCTCCTTGAAAGATCACCTCCACGAGGAGGGTACCGAGAAAGCCAAGCATGGCAGTCCTGCCTACTGTCTGCTCCAGGTCAGCATTCGCCAGCTTCAGCTGTTGTGGCATGCCATCCTTTTTGGCCGCTTCCATCAACTCGCTGAGCGGCACTTCGCTAATGTACTTGGGAAGGATGGAGGCAAGCGAGATAAACACGATCCAAGATACCACCGATCCGGGCGATCGCTGAGCCTGTTCCACGAAGTTCAGACCGCTGAATTTCTCATTCACGGCACAAAGAAGGAAGCCTATCATAGCGAGTCTCCCATTCACTCTCTCTGGTACGGAACCACTGCAAAATCCAAATCCGCCAAGCCAACCGAAAAGCCGAGCCAAACCCAAGTCAAACCCAAGCAAACTCAAGCCAAGCCAACCCAGGCCAACCTAAGGCAGCCTAAGGCAACTTAAGCCAACCCAGGCCAAACCCAAGCCAACCATAGCCAAGCTACACCTAAGCCGAGCAAAACCCAAGTCAAACCCAACCCAACCTGAGCCAAGCCAAGCAAAGCCAAACCCAAGCCAAGCCCAGGCTGCCGAGCCCAAGCCAAGCCAAACAATCGGACAAAAACAAACAACAACCGGACACAAAGAACCAACCACCCGCCGCCACAAACAATCAACCAACCGCCGGCACACAAACAAACCGTTAGAGAAACCAACAAGAGGAGACACACACACACACACACACACACACACACACACACACACACACACACACACACAGACGAAAAAAACAGACAAACAAACAAACAAACAAACAGCCGTGCTCAAACAAACAACCGTATTCAGATAACCAATCACCACCCAGACAGTTTTTGGAGTTAGTATAAGGAAAAAGTCACTTATGAAAGAAAAGCGACTGTTGGAGTTTGATCTCCAATTGACCTTCGAACTGCAAACTTTAAGGGGAAAGGAAACGAAATCCTGAATCAGCGTAACATGCCAAACTGCCAAAATAAATGGAAAGCAATCAACAATTTGCTTACGAGCCAGGTCCAAAATTTTATAGCGCAAGGAAAAAATCAATTTTGGTGAGGAAGTAGCTGACCAGACACTCCATTCGATTGGATTCAATCTTTCTTTTTGTTTCGTTCAAAATTTTGTAAATTGCCAATGGAAGGGAAAGATGGCACCCGCGAGCGTAAGCAAAACTGGCGACACATCGTATGCCTTATCTGGGGTGCTCGCACAGAAAATGTTAAGCCGCCAGTACACAACCTCAGCCTTACAGAAAGTTTTTTTGTCGCCGCCACAGGCAAAACTCGGAGGGGCTCAGGCCCTGTTAGGCCGACTGTCTCGTTATTAGAGGCGGAATAGTAAGGTTTCCGTAGTTACTGGTAGGGTAGCCTCTTGGTGGCACTTCCCATTCCGGTTTAGGTTTGGTTTGAAAGGAGGCGAACGTACATTATTAGCTAGGTGCGAGGGTGACTTAGTAGAGATCGGAATAGCCTATTAGGATGTTAGCTAGGAGCAACTGGTTTACTCCAGTTAATTTTTCTGGTAGCCTCCCCGTAGGATTTTGTTAGCAAATAGGAAGTTAGATCCCTCAATAGAATTGGCTAGAACAGGCAGTAGTGTTAGGAACTTCGCAGCCAAAGAGCTGTTGGGCCTGAAGGAGAGACCTGCAGGCTTTCAGCCTGTAAGCTAAGCTGGATGATGCTTCCAGATAATGGTTTTGAACCGGGAAGTAATGTAGAGGACCCCGGCCTCTGAATTATCATTGAGCAATGGAATTTGAAATTGGAAGGAAAAAAAAAAAGGGTGGCCATTGAAAAAAAAGTTTATCGGGCCTCCGAAGTGGTGCGGGTTCCACGCTGACACCCCCCGAGGGCCTATGTATATTGTTGTACAGTGCTTTAAAGCTAGGCTGCCAGCCGGGCCCCCGGCCATGCAAGGACCACGGGAGAGTCCCAGCAAAAAAAAACAAAATCCAAAGAATCCGCACAAAAAACTATGTTGTGCACTAGGCTACCAGCCGGGACGTCCCAGCAAAAAAAAAAACAAAATCCAAAGAATCCGCACAAAATACTATGTTGCGCACTAGGCTACCAGCCGGGCCGCCCGGGTCCTGGGTGGCCAGCCCGTGCAAGGACAAGAGAAGGTCCCAGCAAAAAAAACAAAATAAAAAAAATCCAAAAAAAAAACTAAAAAAACTATGTTATGCAGAACAATAAACTGAACAACTTTTGCCTCGGTATCACATCGAGATTCTTTACCAAATTTAAAATATAAAACAAAATTGCAAAATATTTTATTTGTTTTTCAATTTTTTATTTTTTGTTGGCCACGCCGGGCAAGTGACCCCCGGCCACTCTGGTACCCTAGGTTGTGCAGAAAAATAAACTTAACAACGTTTGCCTCAGGGTCACATCGAAATTCTTTACCAAATTCAAAAAAACAAAAAAAAAATCTTTTTTTTTTTTTTTTTTTTTTTTTTTTTTTTTTTTGGGCCCGGCAGAGGAAGTGGTCCCCGGCCACTCTGGTAGCCAAGCTCTAAAGGCAAATCTGGCTATCCGCTGAAACCGCTGAGTAACCGACAAAGACAATCAGCAGGTAAAGCGTCAACGACTGCAGACAAAGACAATCAGCAGGTAAGGAAGTCTAAATATGTTCATAGTAAAGCGTCAACGACTGCACGGCAGACATCCCAAGCATAAAAGATGGGATCCTGATGATACACTCTGATCTGATCTTCCAGGCGACTGGAAGGCAGTGGAAGCTCAAGCGTTTTTGCTTGGGATCTATCTAATCAGCACTTTGTGCATCCCAACTAATGTCATCCGCCTGTAGTTTGCTGTAATAATTTGTAATTCTATAGGCTACTTGGCTCGCCCAGCCATGCAGCACGGCCGTGGAGCCCAGGGCATCTGCACAGGGCTAGCCGTGCAGGCAAAAATCAGCACTTCACTTCTTCTTTTTGTTCTCTTTTCTTTTCTTTTCTTTTTTTTTTTTTTT